GGAGAAAGAGACATAACGAAGCTAGAGAGAGAAAGAGCTGCGCTATGAGAAAGAGAGCAAAGAGAGAGACACAGAGTTGCGCTAGAGACAGAGAGAGCCAAGAGAGACACAGAGAGCTGCGTTAGACAGAAACCAAAGAGAAAGAGAGCTGTGCCAGAGAGAGAGAGAGAGCTGAGTGACCTAAGAGATAACAAAATTTCTGAAGTTGTGAAAATTCAGCAATAAGTGGACAATAATTTTATATTTATAGATGATAGTTGTACAAAAATTGGGGAGGGGTGGTATTTTTAGTTAAGATTATAAAATTGGTGGCATATAGGGCTATTTCCCAATATTTTTTAGGGTTGTTTGAAATGACGTCGTTTCACTTTCAGCCCCTTTTAAAACTGAGGTTACTTAAATGAAAGTTGAAACGCACGTTCGGTTTTTTTTTTTTATTGCGTTTTTTCTAATTAATTAATATATTAAGTTAATACACGCTATATATTCTATATATCAATTGGAGATTCTACTTCAATTTCTTGCCTTTAGTTGGAGCAGGCCGCTGTGTTTTCAATAAGAATTAACTTTTTTGTTAATATATTAACACATGGATCTATATATATAAATTGTTATAGTTAAATAAGAATTAGTTGTACAATTTAATTATATTGTATTATTTATAATTTTTTTTTAAAAATAAATTAATGTTTAAAATGCATACGCCTCACTGCTTCAAGGCTTACGCCTCGCATAATGTGACTAAAACGCCTTGTATCAATGCCTCGCCTTTCAAAACATTGGCGATAATATCAGAGGTGATAATTTCAACATTCATGTATCTTACCATGCAATGTACAAAGTGTAAAATATTGTAGTAATTCATTATATATAAATGATTATGGTGTGTTTAATCTTCTTTCATTAATTACTACATATTTTCTACATTCACAGTGTTTGCCAACTCGCTATATAATCACCTTAAATCAGTTAAATCCATCATGCAATGCATTTCCTTCCAATTTTTTGTGATAAACTAATAGATAATAGACTAAATAAACAGCCTGCAAAGTTTCAATAAAAATTTCCAAGTTTTTCTTACAATTTCTGTGGTTTTTATTCAATTTTTATCGATATCGATAATATCCCGATATTTCCATCGAAATTTCCGCGTTTTTGGACTACCGATATTTCCAATATCACCGATATTTTAGACCTTGGTTTTATTAAAGTTTAGCTTTTTCAAAAGCAAGTAGTGCCATTATAAAGCCCAACCAAAAAAGCCCTTAATAATAAGAGTATGCGTTATTAATGTCCACTTAATAACATGTTTAAGACTTTTTTTTTTTCAAAATAATACTGATTCATAGGTTATATTAAATAAATTTTTACAATGATTAATATTGGGCTCAAGTAATTTGTATTTTTATATTCACTCTATAAAATAATATATAATCGAAAAGCTTACGCTTCAATGCCTCAAGGCTTATGCCTCGTCTTGTGGGACAAAAAACGCCTTGCTCTACGCCTCGCCTTTCAAAACATTGATCTCAAGTGACAAAATGATGGAATTTGAAAACATTGAGAAAATGCTTCATTGATCTGTGTTACATGAGGTTTTGGGGATTCGGGTTTTGTTTTTCTCATTTTCTAATGCGAACTTAGTTTAGGTGCTGAAAATATCGTTCTGCATAAGATGATAAGTTGTTATAGGATAAGTTGAGTTTTGACCATATAATATGAACAAAAGCCCTGACTGGGAAAGTAATTACTCTTTCATCTATTATATATGAATTGCATTTGATCATTGACAAGTTCTATGACCATCAGCCACAAGTACCAATTTCCTTTTTGTTCTTTTTAAGTTTTTATATATATATTTTTTATTTAAAGAAAATTATTAGTTACTGTTATAGCTAGCTAGCTATAATGGAGATTGAAGAAAATTTCTGTTTGAAATATTTGTTCCCTCTGGTTGTACAGTAGAGTAGAGAAACTTTTAGCCATGTTAGACCACATTCATTCCTTTAGCCATCTTTGTTAGTCATGTTCATTTGTGAATTGTTAGTACCTGCAGATATATAGCAGCAAGCGAAGAAAGTTTAACTACAGAATGTTAATCCCCTTCCCGCCTATGTAGAGTTGAATTTTTCCGATTGTGAAAAACTCAAGGACTAGGGTGATTGTTTTCTTTTTGCCATATACATGATGGGATTTTCTTTTTTCTTTTTCTTTTTTAAAAATTCATGTCCATGTCCGAGACTTCATAATGATGGAACTCAACTATGGAGGCATTACAATCAGAACAAAATAACTTAAAAAACAAAAAACGAATCATTTTAATACCTCAAAATCAAATTGAATAATTCAAGGACCAGTGTGATTGTTTTCTTCTTGCCATACAAGATTAGATTTCATATATATATAATTTCTTCTTCCCCAAGGTTCTGATAGTTTTTTTATATATTTCTTTTTATAAGAAAATTCCATGTCCAAGTTTTACGAGGAGAGGAAAGAGATAGGAATAGAATTTCACAGCTGTAATACTACTTCATAGTTCTCTAAAAAAAATGACTTTCATAATTCTCTAAATTGTTTTTTTTTTTAAAGTTCTCTAAAAAAGGGTTATTTACTCAAATGGTCCTCAAACTTATACCCAATTTACATTTTGGTCTCTCAACTAAATTATTCGTTCACATGGTCCACAACTCAATTATTCGATCCATTGGTCCTATTGTTACATTTTGTCAATGTTGCCGTCAAATGTAACAGTATGACCAATGGACCAAATAATATAGAGTTTATGAACCATTTAAACGAATAATTTAGTTAATGATCCAAAATATAACTCGGGTATAAATTTAAGGACCATTTGAGTAAATAACCCTAAAAAAATGACTTCATACTGATCTCATCAAATTACACCCAAAATATGAAAACCAGTTTTCATTTTAAAAGTTATCAAACCAAACATGCATGGATATATCTAAATTATATAAAATGGATTATGATGGAAATTATCCAACCAAAAAAGAAAAAGAAAACCAGTTTTTATTATAAAAGTTATCAAACCAAACATGCATGGATATATCTAAATTATATAAAATGGATTATGATGGAAATTATCCAACCAAAAAAGAAAAAGAAAACCAGTTTTTATTATAAAAGTTATCAAACCAAACTTGCAATATATCCGAATGTGCAAAATGTATATCTAAACAGGTAGGATATGGTATGTGTATCATCATCACCGATTCACCGGATGATTCAACAAAATCAACTTCATTACGTATTTGTGTTTTCATTCTTTAATATTGAATACTTTTTTTTTCGGTTCCAAATTTTTAGTTATTGAATATTAGAAATTATTTTTTGGGCCTAAAATCTAGGAAACAAAAAGTCGGTTTCCTAAGTCTATATAACTAGGTAGAACCTTCAAAGCTTTTCATAAAAATGGAAAGAAAAAAAAGTTCCAGCAGTTACATTTGAGACTTCTCATCCTAGTAACATAAGTCGATGTTCGTTTCAACACTTTCTTTTACTTTGAGATCAAAGTTAGGAGAAGGGGTTGCACCGAATTTCGAGTTAAGCTGCTTTCGGTGAATTTCAACTTCATTTCAACTTCCCCCGACAAGAAGCATATCTAAGGTAAATATGCACAACAATACTGAGTGTTTCTTATTGCATGATTCTCTATTTGATGTTGCTATTGGTTTCTATGAATCTTGGAACTCGGGGTTTTTCATTCTGATGTAACAGTTATTTATTTATTTATTTTTTTCTAGTTCAAGTTGTTCTTTCATGATTTTTAATGATTCGGAATCTGAAATCTCTATCTGGGAATTTTAAGAAGCTACCCTGCTGCTTTTGACATGATATTTATGAGTTTTCTCAAATTGGTTTTGATTTCTTTGAGTCTGTCAAAATGATTAAGTTTGGTCTCGTGGTTCCATTGGTTTAGCAAAATCAAACTAAATGATTAAGTTTTTATCAGACATTGCTTTTTGGGTGATGAGCTTTCATTAAAGCTGTTTTCTTGCATCCAACTTCTTGTTTAGATAACTCACAACGTACATTCAACCGGAACAAAACAATGGAACACCAAACGAAGGCAACTGCCAATGGAAGCCCAAAACAAAGATGAGATAATCATATTTCCATAAACATAATCAAGCAAATATAGCGATGGCTTAACTGCCACTCGCCAACTGTAATTACATTATCGTTTCTATACCTCCTCCTCCGTTGGCTGTCCACCAATTGATGAGGAAATTTTTTCCACATTTGCTAGACTTCATTCCAAATTGCAGTTCAACATATTTAACATTGAAATGATGATATTCAACAACTTATTCCTTAACTGGAGTTATACTTAAGGCAAGACAAGGGCCTTTAACCAGATATCATCTACAATGGTTTCCAGACTTCCCCTCACTTATTCTTTTCAGCCCCAAGGGCAAAAGGAGAAGGACCGCATTCAGAATGTCTGAATTGGCGGAAATAAATACATGGTACAAAGGAATGTTATGAAACTATTACATGCAAGAAGCATCACTAATTTGGATGCAAATTTCATATACATTGTCAGTATCTTACAACTACCATTTTTATTATCCAGGTTCATCATATCTTCCGACATTTGATTCTTTAACCAGACTTTTTGCATTTAGAAGCAGGAAACTATCAACCAACCTAGTAAATTCTCTCAGCTGTGGAGACGGGACGAAGGAAGACAACAATGACTGTGATGTTGTCTTTGCTGCCACGCTCTGCTGCTTCTGTCGCCAATCTCTTGGAGCACATTCCAGGCTCTTTCACAGTGTCCTTGATTATGCTCACAACCTCTGCACTGCTCACAACATCCCACAATCCATCACTTGCCATTACCTGACAAACAAAAATGTTTTTTTTCTCAAAAACGTAAGAATAACAAAATAAAAAAAGAGTTGTAATCTAGATTGAATATCTTAAGCAACCAGATTATTTGTTTTTAGACAGAAAACTCAACATGGGTTATGTTGCCTACCAGCATGAAATGTCATTGTCAAAAATAAATAATATACAAATAAATAATTTTCCAGTATTTTTAACTTCATGGAACATTTTGACTCGTAACAGAGCTCTCTGAGATTTTTTAAACAGCATCCAGCAACATTGAAGACCAGCACTATCAGAATATGATAAGTTTATGACATAGAACTTCCCAGTCAATATTAGCAATTTAGTAATCTATGGACAACTGCTTACATGTGTATGGCCTCCAAGATTCCGTCATGGTATCACACTTAAACTTATAAATGAACAACAGTCTTATTCTTACCCTGTATTTAAGGTAAAAAATGATTATCACTGACAAGATGCCAGAAAAGCCCTTATGACGTGCAATATTTTGTGGTGTCTGAGCAGTAAACAGGATGAAAGATTATTACAGTGATAATTGTAGAAGGGAATATTCAAGAAGCATGTATGCCTATAATTAAATCATAGAGAAAGAAAGCTTCAAATGTTGATCACAAAGTAAAATCTACTTGGAAGCTCTACATGCAAGAAGCATATTCAGAAGAGGTTCTTTCCTCATTCTTGTTATATTCTTTCCAAAACCTAACTATTAGTTTTCAAAAATCAATTCATATATCTGTCACCAAATTTAATATCTATTTATCAAAATCTTATTTCTTACCAAATACTCATCCTCTGCCGAAAGAATAGTTTCAGTTATCTCAGGTTCTGCTGTTACAGCAGGCTTTAGATCATCATCCCCTATGGAACGAGTGACCTGTTGAAAGAAATAATGTATCGCCCATTCACTGCCATGACGCCACCTTCAGGTGGCAAAGGGAATAATCCAAATACATGTTACTGATGTTTTAGGCTAAAAATTTACATGTAATACAGGTCATAAGTTTCTGAAGCATATCTTTCTAAGAGAGGAGAAAAAAAAAAAAAAAAAAAAAGCTGATTTGATGCGGTACACCAGAATTTTCTTCACAAGTTCGTTCAAAAAGGAAAACCCATAAATGTGGGCTGATTAAAACTTATAAGAAGCCATCTTCCTAAATAACAGCAGAATTAACAGTACTGGCACAACCAACCTAAAGATCTACCCTTATACAAATCGTCATGTAAAAAAGAGATGTCAGTGTCGTCAAACAGCTCAAGATCAAGAAAACTCATATCAAGCATTACTTTTATATTCTTATAAGACCCACATCAATAGTCAATGGACCCCATGTTGTAGGCAACTTACATCATTGGTCAAAAAAGCTAGCAGTTTAGCATATATATTTGTAGAAACAAATCATTCATAATCTCATACCAAATTATAAATCAGAGTTCAATGAACGATTTTTCATAAACATAGAAGACATGTCAGTCTAATTTTTTATTAAGTCTGCTGTAAAACCTTTCCTCTTCTGAAAAATGAACTTTCTTTTGTAAAAGTCAGCAGGAACTCCTCTGTCATAGAAGATCAACCAAAAACGTTGGTTTCAAATTTTATTTTCCATTTTCTTAGAAGAAATATGTGCAAAACCAACATGATAACAAGTTGTATTGCAAAATTGTACAAGTCTCAACAAAGTTGCAATTATTTTATTTCAAATTTAGAATTGTACAGAACGGATTAATTTCTTTGGTAGCTGTTTATGTATAAAATATCAATATACAAGGTCTATCTAAGTGGCACATATGTGCCTTCAAAGAAAATCTTACTTCGACATTGCAATGGAAGATGATTATTTTTGCTTTTCCTCTCAGCCAGATTTTATGAATTGTCTAATTTTTTTATAACTCATTATAAAAGTTGTTAGAATGTGTAGTGTTAGTACAGCTGTGTTTGTACAGCTGTGTTAGTGAGTGTTAGTATAGCTGTTTGTACAGCTATGTTAGTGCTAGTACAGCTGCTATCTTTACAGCTGTGTTAGTGTTAGTACAGCTGCATCTCTACCCTTGTATAGCTATAAATACCTCCCATTAGAGATAAATAAAAGAGAGAAAAATTTCTGCACTTATTTCTACTTGGTATCAGAGCCAATTCTACCAAAGGTTTTTTTTTTTTTTTCCTTCTATCTCTATCATCTTCACCAAGGGTATACTGACCTTGGTGTTGATATTTCTAAACCATAAAAGCCTGCTGCACATTCAGTTCGGTTCAAGACTACTGTAGCAGATCAAAGCACTGTAGCAGACAGAGATTACTGTAGCGGACTTTCTACCCCAGCAACAATTCAGTATTTTTTTCTTCTTACAATAAATTCAAATTTCCGCTGCTATCATGTCTAAATTACCATGGATAATTGATTCAGGGGCAACTGATCATATGACCAGTGAGTCATCTCAGTTTACATGTGTTACACGTCCGTCACGTCATTCTGTTCAGATTGCGGACGGGTCTATCACTCCAGTTGAAGGGGCTGGTTCCCTCTCTCTTTCCTCAACTTTACCGTTATCTTCTGTGTTACACGTTCCTAACCTCTCTAATAATCTTCTTTCCATCAGTCAAATTACCAACATGTTAAACTGTTCTGTAATCTTTTTCTCTACTCACTGTATTTTTCAGGATCTTCTCACGAAGACGACGATTGGTATTGGTAAGGAGAGAGGAGGTCTCTACTACTTGGAAACGCTAGGGCAGTCTCAAATTCAATCTAGCCGTGGGTTTCAAGCAGCAAAAGACAATGTTTTAGATCGAGAAAAAATTCTTTTATGGCATCGTCGTTTAGGACATCCTTCGTTTATCTATCTGGAATGCTTATTTCCTAAGTTATTTACTAACATTTCAGCTTCTAGTTTACGCTGTGAACATTGCATTTATGCAAAAAATCATCGTGTCTCGTTTCCACCTAGCCTTCATAAAAGTGTCAGTCCTTTTTCTCGTATTCATACTGATGTGTGGGGTCCATTTTCTATTCCTACTTCTTCGGGTGCTCGATATTTTATATCTTTTATTGATGATTGCACTAGAGTGTGTTGGGTTTATCTGATGAAATCCAAAAGTGAAGTTAGTACTGTTATTCCTAAGTTCCATCAACTAATCAATACTCAGTTTCATGTCCAAATTCAGGTTTTTCATTCCGATAATGGACGTGAGTTTGTAAATCATTCTCTTACTGAATTCTTCCAGCAGCATGGCATTATCCACCAGACAACTACGGCTTACACACCCCAACAGAACGGTATAGCAGAGCGTAAGAACCGCCATCTCCTCGACGTGGCCAGGTCCTTATGCTTTACTATGCAAGTTCCCAAACAGTTCTGGGCTGATGCTGTCATGACTGCTGTCTTCCTCATTAATAGAATGCCTACTCGTGTGCTTGATTATCAAACACCCATAAAAGTATTGTCTCAATTCCACTCAATCCCTTCCTTGCTTAATTTGCCCCCTAAAATCTTTGGTTGTCTTTGCTATGTCCATGTTCACTCTATTCACAGGGACAAATTAGATCCACGTGCTCTTAAGTGTGTCTTTCTCGGATATCCTCCATCACAAAAAGGATATAAGTGTTTTCATCCTCCTTCTGGTAAGACGTATGTGTCTATGGATGTTGAATTCTGTGAACAAGAATCTTATTTCTCAGGAGGAGTCTCTACTTCTCCTCTTCATGGGGAGATTAGAAGTACAGAAGAAGAGAAGTTGTGGTTTGAAGCTGAAATTGGACCATGTTATGTTCTCCCTACTCAGGGTGAGGGGGAGACGTCAGTTGAACATGAAATTGGATCAAGTTCAATTCTCCCTACTCAAGATGAGGGGGAGAAACTTGTTACCTTGAAAACATTTGAAAGAAGAAAAAAGAAACATGTGGATGTTCCATTGCCACCTCCTCCAGATCCTTCTCTCCATGATACTACCATCCAATCGAATGATTCTTCTGAGAATGATCTTCAGGTACATGCCTCTGCCCCTATCTTATCTCTTTCTTCTGATATTGACTCATTACCTGAATCTGATCATGTAGCTCCACTAGAAACTCCCTTGGTTCCACATGATGAGGACCGGGGGAGAAGATATCCTATACGTGATCGTCACCCTCCTGAAAAATTTGGTTTCCCTTCATCCAATAATGTTAAGTATCCCATTTCCAACTATATTTCATACCACCGTCTTTCCAAGTCTCATTTGACTTTTACACAACAATTGTCTTCTGTGTCTATTCCTAATAAGTTTCAGGAAGCCCTTGATGATCCTAAATGGAAATCTGCTATGGTAGAAGAAATTAAGGCTCTTCAGAAAAACTCTACATGGGAGATGGTTGAGTTACCAAGAGACAAGAAAATTGTGGGGTGCAAGTGGGTGTTCACAGTGAAGCAAAATTCAGATGGTTCGATAGAGAGGTATAAAGCCCGACTTGTGGCAAAGGGCTATACCCAGACGTATGGGATCGATTATCAGGAGACATTCGCTCCTGTTGCCAAGATGAGTACGATCAGAGTTCTTCTCTCATTGGCTGCCAACTTAGATTGGCCGCTAAAACAGTTTGACGTCAAGAATGCCTTTCTACATGGAGATCTACAAGAAGAGGTTTACATGGACCCTCCTCCAGGGTTTACACCTAAAGGGGGAAAGGTTTGCAGGTTAAGGAAGGCTTTATATGGTCTTAAACAATCACCTAGGGCCTGGTTTGGCCGGTTCAGTCATTCCATGAGAAACTATGGCTTTAAACAGTCTCAAGCTGATCACACACTATTTCTTAAGCATGTTGGCAGCAAGATTACTTTACTAATTGTTTATGTGGATGACATGGTGGTTACAGGTAATGATGAACAGGAGATTGAGAATCTTCAAAGTTACTTGGCCAAAGAGTTTGAAATGAAAAATCTGGGATCTCTCAAGTATTTTCTAGGAATTGAAGTTGCACGTTCTAAGAAAGGCATCTTCTTATCTCAGCGAAAATATGTTCTTGATTTACTAGCACAGACTGGAAAATTGGCGTGTGAACCTATTAATACTCCAATGGAGGTTAACCATGGATTGTCAATTTATCCAGATCAGATACCTACTAACAAAGAGAGGTATCAGAGGTTGGTTGGAAAGCTGATTTATCTGGCTCATACAAGACCTGACCTGTCTTATGCCGTTAGTGTTGTCAGCCAGTTCATGCATAATCCAAGTGAAGCACACCAAGGTGCAGTGGATCGAATTCTCAGGTACTTAAAGTATACTCCAGGCAAAGGTATATTGTTTTCAAAACATGGGCATTTAGATGTGGAAAGTTTCACTGACTCTGACTTTGCAGGCTCAAAACTTGATAGAAAATCAACTTCAGGTTATGTATCTTTTGTCGGTGGTAATCTTGTAACTTGGAGGAGTAAGAAACAGGGGGTTGTGTCAAGATCTAGCGCTGAAGCAGAGTATAGAGCACTCAGTCATGGCATAACTGAGCTTCTTTGGTTAAAGATTCTAATGAGGGAACTCGGGTTTGAACCTAAGAAGCCTATGGTTCTGTATTGTGACAATACAGCTGCCATTGAGATAGCAAATAATCCAGTACATCATGAGAGAACAAAGAATATTGATATTGACAGACAATTTATCAGCGACTACTTGGCAAAAGAAGTCATTCGAGTGCCGTATATAAAGAGTGAAGACCAACTTGCAGATATGATGACTCATGCTGTTTCTAGCAGAGAACTCTACTCTTCACTAGACAAGTTGGGCATGTGCGATATCCATGCACCAACTTGAGGGGGAGTGTTAGAATGTGTAGTGTTAGTACAGCTATGTTTGTACAGCTGTGTTAATGAGTGTTAGTATAGCTGTTTGTACAGCTATGTTAGTGCTAGTACAGCTGCTATCTTTACAGCTGTGTTAGTGTTAGTACAGCTGCATCTCTACCCTTGTATAGCTATAAATACCTCCCATTAGAGATAAATAAAAGAGAGAAAAATTTCTGCACTTATTTCTACTAAAGTTCTACCAATTAACTCGAAAAATAGGTTCGTGTGCAAAACCAACATGATAACAAGTTGCGTCGCAAAACTGTACAAGCCTCAACAAAGTTGCAATTATTTCCAAATTAGGATTGTACAGAACTGATTAATTTCTCTTTGGTAGCTGTTCATGTATAAAATAATATATGAGCTCTATCTAAGTGGCACATATGTGCCTTCAAAGAAAATCTTACTTTGACATTACAATGGAAGATGATTATATTTGCTTTTCCTCTCAGCCAGATTTTATGAATTGTCTATTTTTTTTCTGAACTGATTCTAAAAGTTCTACCAATTAACTCAGAAAAAAGGTTTGTGTGCGAGCCTTCCATTTGGAAAATAATACTAACCTGCTCAAGTAAATTGCAGCATACAGTCCATTAAATCAGCAAACAAAAAGAAAACATTTTTGGAAGACAACATTACAAAACTATCATGATATCTAAAGGGACAAACCTGAAGAGCAGCAAGACCCACCCGCCAATTATCTACTTGCCATCTAACTTGTTCCCCAGCACTAATAACCCGCTCCCTCTCCTCAAGACAGCTTGCAACATGATCCTAATATTTCATCCATTATACTGAGAAAAAGAACACCTTGTACTAAACCAGAACAATCTAACAGGAATGTAAGAAGTTCCAGTCACCTTGCTTAGAACAAAGGGATGGCCAGCCCGACACAATATGGTCCTGCAATCACCAGCATTAGCCACAAAACGCTTGTTTCCAACAATAAGAGCAGCTGCTGCAGTGCAACCGGGATGCCAGTCCTTCGGGATAACTCTTTTGGATTTACGAGAAAAATCCAGCTCAGCTCTAAATGCAATATCTGTCTTAATGAATGCTTCAAATAATGCACCACTTGGACTGCATTAAAGGATAAAATCAATTATGGTCAAATAACACACACACACACACACACAAATATATATATATATATATATATATATATATATATATATATATATATATATATATATATATATATATATATATAGACATATGTATAGTGTTGAAAACAAAATGGAAACGGAAGAAACCTGCTAGTTGACCTTAAAGCTTGCAAGAATCCTGGAATCCTGGAACGCTCGAGCTGAAAATTCGGCAGCTGCTCCACCTGCATTTGGTACATCCTTGTAGCATAGCATTGGAATTTGGATGCATTAAGAATTAGCAGAAGGACTGAATCAACCGTGCCACCCGTAGAAATCTTAAATACACAATTAGAATTAGAGATATCACTGAAAATCCCCTCTATGACCATCAAAGGCTTTAACCCCCCCCCCGGGAAAAGGCAGAACACAGAAGCTTACGAATAGAACGAAACGAAAACAGAAAAAAACACGTAGAGAAATTACAACACAGCGTCAACTAGATCTCTAGCTATATAGGAGTAAGATTAGTTCCTGAACTCTCTCGTAACTGACGCCCACAGAGCTGCCCCGAATTTGACTCTCTCCCACACCTCTAACACACTTCCTTCGCTACAATCGTCGAAAATTCGTCTGTTCCTTTCAAGCCAAATATTCCAGAACAGAGAATGCACTAAACAGCCCCATAAGATTAAGGCCTTCTTACCTTTGCCAAGGGCATCCAGCTGGGAACTGATTAGGGAGAAGCAATCTTTAGGAATGACCCATACAGTCTTAACCTCCTTTAAAAGGGACCACCACAGATTTAGAGAGAAGGGGCAGTGTAAGAACAAATGATCTGCGTTTTCCTCGTGCTTCTGGCAAAGAATGCACCAATGGGGAGAAAGACACGAGTATGGTCTTCTCCTCTGAATCAAGTCACAATGTTACTATTCACTATGATTCAACATCTATAATTCTAATTTTGCAGTACTATATTATAGTATCTTGCAAGAATGATCCTTGACTGTGAATTTATATATATTTACCACAATTATTCAAAAGAAGTCTATGTATTTGTTTCGCACACGTCCAGACATGCATGCACCTAGTGAGACTCATAAGGGGAGTTGTATATCGGATCCTAAGTATGCTCCAGGTAAACGGTTATTACTTTCTGCTAACTATTGGCACCTAGATGTTGAACGAGATACACATGCAAACAGGTTCTATTATAGATAACAGGTCGAGTTCTGGACATTGTAATTTTGTAGGAGGAAACATGGTTACATAGCGTAGCAAGAATTGGTCAGTGCAGAGACAGAATTTAGAGCCATGACTCAAGAATCTGTGACAGCAGAGAGGCTTGATGAGCGAATCTTTCTTGAGAAACCAATGAAACTATTCTGCGACAACAAATTAACATTGAACACAGTCCGGTTAAAAATGAAAATACTAAGCATGTTGAGGTGGAGATACTTTATAAAGGAAAATTTGACATAAGAGATTATTTGCACTCATTCGTGAAAACCGAGGATTAACTCACAGTCTAACAGATATCTTAACTAAGGCGGTGTCTAATAATGTTTTTCTATTCTACACTGAACCAGTTGGAAATAGAGATATCTTTGCACCAATTTGCGAGGAAGTGTCGGGGCGATTAGTTTTCATTGAATAGTTGACTTTAGAATCCATATCTAAAGTGTAAATCCCTCCAATATTGGACAAAAAAAGACAAAAATTCATCCCCAAATTACTCTCTGAAGGAATCCTACTTCTGTGAAAAGGACTCTCCCTCTCCAATATACAGACAGCTCTTCAACTCGAGAAGAAAATCTAGCAAAGACCATTCAACATTATTGTCAAATTTTCCAGGTTAACGGGCTGAGGGCCCACTCCAACAACACCGATACTGTCCCCACTTTACCACCTGCACAATCCTCAGGTGTGGGGTTTTATCACAAAAGGCCTCGGTATTAGTTGGAATAGGGTAATTCTATTTAAAGTACTCTTTCTCCTTCCCTCTCTCCGATGTGGGACACAATTGGTTTCAACACTCCCCCGCACGTGAGACCCCATTTTGTGGGTCACACGTGGAGATCCACACATCGGCAACCACGTGGAGCCATGTAGGGACTCACCCATCGCGCGGGGCCAAACGGGGACCCACCCATCACGTGGCACCTTTGGCCTACGTGGAGCCAAATGGGGACTCACCCATCGCGCGGGGCCAAATGGGGACCCACCCATCACGTGGCAAGTACGGGCCCGCAACCTGGCTCTGATACCATGTCAAATTTTCCAGGTTAACGGGCCGAGGGCCCACTCCAACAACACCGATACTGTCCCCACTTTACCACCTGCACAATCCTCAGGTGTGGGGTTTTATCACAAAAGGCCTCGGTATTAGTTGGAATGGGGTAATTCTATTTAAAGTACTCTTTCTCCTTCCCTCTCTCCGATGTGGGACACAATTGGTTTCAACAATTATGACATCAATTTTACCACTTTTGAGATGTCTCAATTATGTTCATTTTATTCGCAGTAAGAGAATGACTTGGGTATTGAAAGTGATTTAAACTAATTAATACCACAGCTACCCTGGTTCTAGGATTGCATGATCTTATTTTTCTTATTTCGATGTTGATCCAATCTTTGGCATCAACATACTTTATCAGCAAAGTCAAAAGTCTGATTAGCATCTCCCCACAAGTTAAAGGTGCTAAGGCTAGGTACAAATACCATATAGAAACTTTGTCCATTAAGAATATTTAGGTCCCTGAAAGGTCCTAAAGGTTCCAAGGCTCAATTCAAAAATCCATAACAAACAGCAAACAGCGTCACTTGAAAGAACACAACTTCAGTTACATTTGTCTTGTAGGCATAGATCTAAGTAGAATAAAATATGCTAGTTTTTAGCATAATCAAATCTTAAATCCTTACTTAATTGATATACCAAAGCTGTAGACATCTGATTTTTCTGTATGTATTTCCTTGTTTAGTATTTCAGGTGCCATGTAAATGAGAGTGCCAACCATGTTTTTTTTGTGGAAACCACCAGTAGGTTTTCCAGATGACCTCCAATTCCCAATAGAAACTCCTTTAAGATCTTTCTTGTACTCAGCCAAACCAAAGTCTGCTAAGTGTGGATAAAGATATTTGTCCAGCTGCATCGTAAGGGTATAATATTAGTTAATTTCGTCCAAAACTAGTCAAAAGAGGATTTCTGTTTGCTACAGAATAAGATAAAGGAAGGCATTTACAAGAATATTTGCCGGTTTCACATCCCTATGTACAATCCCGAGGTGATGCAGATATTGCAAAGCCTTTGCTGGAAAAGGAAAACAACGTAAAATCATGCAACTAAATAAATTTAGAAACCTCGAAATGAAAATAGTAGTAAAAATAAAATGCCTGTTTCCGGAAATAAGGTGTAATAGCAAACTCATCAACATAACACAAGTTCGATCAATTCATGATGTTACAGTACAACGTCTTGCTGAACCATCATCAATTTATCCTATAGACCATCTTGCGGTTATCCCCCATTCTTAATTTCTATGGCCCCCAAACTAAAAATCGTAGCTCAACCCCTGCAGACACACACATACACATGCATGCACACCCAGAGTTTTTTTAAGAAATATTTGCAGACACCCTTTGTGGTGAGGCTAGAAACCATAGACCTCTCAGAGGCTTAACATATGTATGTTTATATGTATAAATCTGTATGTGTGTGTGTATATATATAAATATATATGTAGACATATACACACGTGTGTGTGTGTGTGTGTATGTGTATTTATTGTGATACTTGATACCCAGGTGGTTCAATAGAGAGGGTAAAATGACAGAGCCCATTAAATCATAAAATCAAAATCACACTTATAACATGCCCTTCCTACAAAATTAGTTCACAAATTTCCTCTGTTAATGGTAATGCTGAATACTAAGATGATCTGAACTCATAAAAACACTCAGAGAAAATCACAGAAGCAACTAAGTCATACCTAATTGGACAGCAACCACAAGCACCTGATTGATATTCGGACTCCATTCTTCCATGTGTAATTTCTCAGATAAGTTCGGAGGCTCAAAGAATTCGAAGAAATACATGTAATTGGGTGGCTTTGCATGTGCGGCAACCAGTTTTGCTATTCCCGGATGATCAAACTTACTTCAGTGTTCATATATACTCGAATTCATATACTCGAATCATACACATAAATAGATTCATATGCATACATACATATACAGAACTATATCCTCACAGCATTGAAACATGTAATGTGAATTATACATGAACCATAAACATACCATAGCAATTGCAGCTCCTTGTGGAACTTATCAAGATCTTCAGAAGTAGACAAGATGGGTTTCTTCACAGCAACTTTCTTTCCATCCAAAATTGCTTCATATACAACACTCTCAGCCCCTACATACACAATCAGCACCAAAAAGCATGCCGGAAAATAACCGATTAATAAATTAATTAGAAATATCGAAAAGAAAAGGCAAGTGGCGATAGGCATTAGGCATTAGCTAAACAGAGCCTTAGCCTGAACTGGAAAGAGGAAAAGGAGTGTGAGTTACCTCGGGCAATTGGTTTGAGGAGAGTGTAAGAGGAAGGTGGAAGATGGAGAGGAATGGAATTGCTGCTGCAGCAACCTCTAATGCACGCGTTTGGTTCCACAATTTCAAGCCCCATCTCTCCAAAACACACACACACTCTCTCTCTCTCCGGCGTTGTGAGTCGGTGTGGCGAAGAAGAAAGAAAGCAGCAGCAATTAAATTACGAAAAAGGAGTGTACGGGTGTGTTTTTTTTAAGGAGGTCTGCTGTTAGGAATTTTCGTTCTGCTACCGTATGAAATTCAATAGTACAAATTCAACCTGCGATATTTTGTTTTGTCTTCTCGGTAATTTTTACTTTACTATACTCAAGTTTACTGGATGCATAAAGTTTATTTTCATATCACTTTAATACATTTGTTAGTCTCACTGTCATGCTTTCCGTTAAATAATAATGTGATGTTATTATGTGAACTCACCCATATTTTGGTACGTGGATTAAATAAAGAAAATATATTTAATTAATTAATTAAAATTTGAAATATTTACAAAATGATTTAATTTTCAATGATAATAATTAAACAAAAACTCAAATAGGATGAAACTAAATTATGAAATTTGGTTTTTCGATGTGAAAGGAAGAGACAAAAAGTGATTGTGTGATGAGAGTGCAAGCCAGCCAGCACACTAAGGTATAGTGGCTCTTGATCTGTGGGGTCTAGGTTTGGAACCCAACACCCCAATCATATCCATAGTTTTGGTTTGCAACACAACCATTGAGGTTGGGGGGCCCTACTAACCCGAGGGTAGGGTGTGCTTAGTGCGACTTCACACAAGGTGAACAGCCCAAGACCATCATACCTCACCTAACAAGGCTTAGCTCAAACAACCAATCACTTTAAGAGCAAGTCCACCCCAAAGGGCTAAGGCAAGGGCTAAGGCAAGGCAAGGGCTGCACTATTCACGTGAATAGTGGCAGCCTTGCCTTTTTTGGTTGCACCCCAAAAGGCTAGGGCAAGGGCAAATACTATTCATTGTACTTTATTTCCTTTTTTTTTTTACTTTAAACCATTAATTTTGGTTGCCACGTGTCCATAATTTTTCAGATAAGATTTTCGGATGAGATTCTCGGTTGCCACGTGTCTTATTTCAGATAAAATTTTCGTTCACCCTCTAAAATTGCGCCACGTGTCATCTCTATCTTCTAAATCCCTCTATAAAACTACACCCTCAACTCATACCTCTCACACCATATCTTCTCTATTCTTTCATTTCTCAGATTTTACAAAACACTTTCTACTCTCAATGTCTAACCTGAGGAGGGTGTTAGAGAGGCAAGAGCGAGAAGAGGAAGAAATCAGGCGCAGACGTGCTGAAGAAGATCGTGAGGTCGATGAAGAGGAGGAAGAAATGGTTGTAGCGGCGTGTATGCTTAATGAATCAAGCCACCACCACCGTCGTCGTGCCCAGAATGTGGACAGACGTAGGCAGTCTCGGGGTAAGAATCTCTTGGAAGATTACTTTATCCCAAATTCGTTATATCCTGTTTCTAAGTTTCGAGAGA